AAATGGAATTCTATGGCTCTTGATATGTAGGCTTCACCTTTTCCTATAACTTCACAGTTACCAATATAGCATTTGTATACCATTGCCTTTGGGACCTGCCAGGGATAGCGTCAGAAAGAGCCCAGGGCAATGGCCCTCACAAAGGGACAGCCAGCTTGACTGTGGGAACCAGGCAAGGCAACTTCCTGACTTTCTGTGCTAAAGAAACCCCATCATCAGTTCAACCTAAGTGCAGGGATCTGGAGAAATATAGGAAATTTAAATTTAAAACAAAAACCCAACAACCACCACCATATCAGCCTGAATATATACAGTCAGCCCTCTGTATGCCTAACATGGAGACATCATTGGTAAAAATTAATCCAAAATGGTAAAGAAATCCTAAAAATCATTGCTGGTTCTTAACTCACAAGAGAATGGGGTCAGCAATGCAGTTTCTCCTAAAGTCAACCCTAGCACACAGTTTTCAACAAGTACTTATTGAATGTTAAATAAATAAGTGAAAGGCTCATTTCACTCAAGTGACACTTGGAGTTATTGAAACTCCTTTATTTGTCTGCACCCAGCTTATGCTGGAAACCTCTCTGGACTGGGAGTCAGGACATCTAGGTTCTGGTCTTGGCTCTAGCAGTAACTGTCTATATGACCTTAGGTAAGTCACAGTATTTAATTTGGTGGGAGAGGAAGGACAAATGCAAGCACATTCCTTTCAGCAATGCCATTTAACAGAGCCTGGGTTTTACAACAAATAATCACCCTGTGTCTACTTTGGCACAAAACTACAACCCTTTAGTGATTTTGGAGTAACCAGATAGCTGAAGATTGCCAGTGGCTGGCAGAAAAGGCAATGACAGGTGGACTTGAAGAAAGTGAAGAGGCATGGAGTCCAAAGGGAGGTAATTCTACACCATGTTCCAGAGTTGTAAAACCACTTCTGATTCAGGGTCCCTTCGTTTTCTGGCCTGTGGTGGAGTGTGAGCTCCAAGCTCTCTCTCATTTATTAATTGAGTAGAAACCCCCCCAATACCAGAAGAAAAAGAAAGGAATTGGACACCCAATTCACAGAATACAAATGGCAAGAAACATAAGGCAGAGGGGAGGTGTGAAAAATGTTTGACCTCGTTATTAATAAAAGAAATAGAAATGAAGCAACCCTGATATACCAGTTTACAACTATCAAATTACCAAATGTTTAAATGAGATGTGTTGAAGTAGACTCTCTGATACACTGCTGGCAGAACTAATGGTGATAGCCTTTCTGTAAAGCAATTTACCCATATTTATAGAGAGCCTTTAAAAGAGCACTCCCTTTGACTCTAGTGATTCCATTTCTACAAGTCTATCCGAAGGAAATGAATCACAAATATACTCATATATAAAGGGGTTCATCACAACATTATTTATAATAATGTAAAATGAAACTCCTGAATGGCTGACAATAGGGAGAGGGTTATCTATATGTTATGGAATTATTTTCAAAAATTCCTAATGATATGGAAAATGCTAAGTTTAAAAAAGGCAGGATACATGGGGCATCTGGGTGGCTCAGTCGGTTAAGCGGCTGACTTCAGCGCAGGTCACGATCTCACGGTTTGTGAGTTTGAGCCCCGTGTTGGGCTCTGTGCTGATGGCTCACAGCCTGGAGCCTGCGTTGGATTCTGTAACTCCCTCTCTCTCTGCCTCTCCCCTGCTCATGCTCTGTCTCTCAAAACTGAATAAATGTTAAAAAAAATTTTTTTTAAAGGCTGGATACAAAACTCTATTTATAGTTGAATTCCAGTTATCTTTTAAAATATACATGCACACTGGGGTGCCTGGCTGGCTCAGTCAGTAGAGCATGCAACTTATGATTTCAGGATTGTGAGTTCGAGCTCCATGTTGGGAGTAGAATTTACTCAAGATATGTATAAAAGACTAGAAAGAAATACACCAAAACATTAACAGTGCTAATCATATATTGGTGACGAGTTTATGGGTAATTTTAAAAATCTTACTTTCCTATACTTTCCCAATTTTCAACAATGAGCATGTGTTGCTTTTAAAATTAAAAAGCACATTAAGTGTGTTAGGAGAGGGGGATGTTTATGTTCTGAGTTTCCCAATACTTAGAGGTAGAAAGGGATTTCTGAGATAATTTAGTGTTTCTCAGTCCTATCAGCTCCAATCCTCCCTTGGTAGATACAATATTTTGTGATGTGTCCTTTGGCACTCTGAAATGATTTTCATAGTTAATATAACCAGCTTCTACACATAATTTCCAGAATAGCAATATAATACGCTAATTACAATATGAAGGAGAAAAAAAGGAAATTTGTTTATAATATGTATTTCAATATGCAAATGCCTGGGCAAGACTATACTAAAAGATATAATGAAGTAGTCAGAGAGTCCACGTATACATGTAGATCCACTGTGAATGCAATTGTTACAAAGAAAGACAAATACAGGTACGTTCTATTGGCAATAGAAATCCATGAATGGCATTGTGGGTGATATGATTTTCAAAAGTCACAACTCTTGGTAAAGTTCTGAACCAAATAAAGTACCATGTTCCCTCAATTTCCACAATTGTTGCATTCCTAGAAATTCAGCGTATATATTAAAATTGTAAAAACATATTTTTGTGTTGATTTGTAAAATAATTAGGCCCAGCTAATTGCGCTAGGTTTTCCCACCTACATTGATGTCCTCGAAGACATTCACAAGCTTACAGATGCAGGTTTCTAGTTCCCATTCCCACTTTGTATTTATCCAAAACATGAAATTTACAGTAACTTCCTTTTTTGTGAGTTGGGCTTGCATCCTTTAAAACTAATGATATTCACAGTTTTAGCCTTTGATACTATTTCTAAAGCCTATTGCCTAAGAATAGCAAGTGATTCCTAGAATGTTTTCTTAAAACTGACACAAATGCCTTTGGAATTATTGAAAACATTGTTCTTCTTTAGTGGAACCAAAGCATAAGAGTAAATTATCAGTTTTTAAAAACCATTTACTGTGATCCCTTCATTTTCTCTAGCCTGGCCCCAGCCTCGGGAGTATAAAATGAACAGAGCTGGAAGAAAAGGACTAGCAGAGCTAGGCCATGGAGGCGGGGATGGGTTGCTAGGTTATCACTTGAGCCATTCCAAGCAGTCCCAGAAGAGTACCAGACACAGGACAGGTCCCTCTCCCTGCCCCACTCGCCTGAGGGCCCTCTCAAAGGAAGGGGTGGGGGGCAAAAGGTGGAGGAGGGGCTGGTCACTCACACTAGGCACAAGTAAAGAAATGAGGCAGAAGCACAATGAAACAGACATCCCTGTATCTCTAAAACCATTCAACTCTCCTTCATTAATTGGCTTCACCCCAAAAAGAAAGATTTCTTTATTAAATACCAGAGAGAGAAAAACCTGCCACACATACACATTTGTAGGCTCACACAAAAGTGCAGAGATTTACATATTAAATTGCATTAAGTTAGAAAATAGATTTAAAAACAAAATACTTCCCCCCCCACACACACACACAGAAGGTAAAGAGATTCAGTCAGTAGGAAAAGGGGCCACAGGGGTAAAGGCAGGAAGGTCAGGGCAGGAAGAATGGAATTTAGCTGCTATAGAATTAGAACCCACATCTGCCACTGGGGAAAAAAAACAAGGAGAGAGATGATGCTCTCTGCTAGGGCTAAGAGGGCCCCAGAGCCAAATGGGCATGGAGAAGGGCTCCCAAATAGCCAAATTCCACCAACCCCCAGAAGGTCTTGGATCTGTGCCAGCCACCCTGACCTGGGGAAGTGGGGTGCATAGGAAACTTAGGGGATGGAGAGGAAGGGGAGAGGTGGAAAGAATGTCAGCCATTGAAAAGAGTGAACAATTTAAGACCTAGTCCCCTGGGAGGGACCAATTCTTCAATCTCCTCTCTGATCAGAACTCAGACTAGGTACAGTCCCGGCTGGTGCATGATATGAATGGGACAGATCTTCAGGCCAAGGTCTTAAATACATAAGATTTATAAAGGAAAAGTAAGAAGGCAGGGAGTATGAAAAGCAGAAACTTTTAAAAACTTCATTTCATACTAGAGATGAGGGATTTACATGCTTACCCTTCACCTCAGAAAGATAAATTTTCTCTGTCAGACCTCAGGGTCAGCAGAAAAGTGCTTGAGGTAAGTTGGGTGAGGAGAGAAATCTGTCTGAACCCAAGAAAAGAGATGATGGGCTGAGACAGGGTAGGTTGGGAACTGACTAAAAGGGGGTTCATCTGAGTGTCAGGTAACTGAAAAAATCTAGTAACTTCCAAACTCTCCAGGCTTGGCCTTATTTTGAACTAACTCAAATCTAACTACAAGAATAAAACTGACAGATTCAGAAAAAGAATGGGAAAGTAGAGGCAGAAAGGAGACAAACCTGAGACAGTCAGAGCCAATCTCCCCACTCTCCCCAAGGATTGCTAAACTCAAATCTTGCTACCAGGAAAATAGGAAGACATACAAAAAAATCTGCTAGCAGCCAAACTTCATTAACTGTGATTAACTGGGAAGGATGATATAGGCATTAGTAAGGAGTCTTGACTTTAGACCATTTAAAAAGAAATATATACCATCACTTGTAAAAGATCACTAACAAAATATTTCCAAAAGGAGACCCTGATGAGCCTGCTTTAATAACTAAGATTCATTTGCAATTAACAGCATCCCTCTGCATAAAAACAATATTCTAATAATGTGTTCTCTTGAGTAAATATAACCCCTTCCAACCCTCCCAATCTTGCTAACAGTGTATATTGCCTTGAAAGCCCTTTCTTCATAGTCCAGAATAAGGTAAATTTCAATCCAGAATGTAGTATAAATCAGTGGGGAGTTTGGGAGCTATCTCTCCAACCCAAGGGCCCCATAGGAAATGGAAGTATGAGTAGTAACAAGCAACCCTCAACCCTTCAACCCTCCCCAACCCACCCCCCACAAAGACATTCACACCCTCATGGTGGTTCTTGAAATGGAAAGGGGAAGGAGGAGGCAGGCAGTTTGCATTAGACACTGTTTAATCACCTTCAAATAGATTAAAAGTTCTGGTTTACACTCCCCACCCCCCTCCCCGTAAGTCATCCAGACAGGACCCTGGCTTAGAAAGAGAAAAACACAGGTGCTCTAGGAAATATAGCCACATATAATACATAAATCTTCTTCCCTGAAATAGAGCAGATCCTGAGCAGAGCTGACTGGGGGCCACAGCCCACCCCCAGGGTGAAGCGGCTCTGGGACTCTGCCGGTGGAAGTGCTGGAAGAGTGGGGCTTGGAGGAAGCCCCCGTGTGGTTACCAAGCCCGAGGCGGGCCAAGGCCTTGGAGTGGGTTTACCCAGGAGGGCAGCAGTGCTGGGTTTTCCCTCCTCACTCAGCCGAGGCCTAATGGAAGTACTGGTTTTTTTTTTTTTTTTTCTTTTTTGAGGGGACATCGGGGGAGAGGAGAGGAGAGGAGAGCCTCTCTGTGCCTTGTTTCCCCATTTGTGCATTCAGAGCCTCTACAGGCCTCACACAGGGAGTCTGAGGGGGTAGTGTTTAAGTGAGCACTCAGGCTTCCTGTGAGGAAAAGGAACCACCAAAGTGCAGACTTTTATTACTGCCATTCCTGCTCCTAGCGGGAGCAAGAGTCAAAAGGAAAACAAAAGGGGCTAATGAGAAAGGATGAGAGATGAGACAAAGAGTGTGAGGGGCCACGCCATTGGCATCTCATAAATTCTTACTAAGAATGGCACGGGTATTAAAAAGGTTCTGGGTAGTCTACAAGAAATGTGAATCGTTGTCTCTACTGCAACTACTTACATATATCTAATTGGAAATGGATGGGGCTTGGGTGTTAGAGAGTGGGAAGGGGACATAGGAGAAGCTACATGAATAAATACAAGTGGAAGGTACCTGCCTCATTCCTGAAAGGATTTGCTGGCAATGTTGGCACTTTGTAGCCAGGAGAATCCTCCAACCCTACTCTCCACCCTCTTCAATTCTGAAGGCCCCAAGAATCCCATTAGGATTCCCTGGCCAGAGTTCTCTGTGACTGCCTCTGGACTCATGACATGCAGCAGCTTGAGAGAATTTGAGCCAGTCTCAAGACCCTTTAACCCCAGAATTGGACCAATGACCCCAAGCAGGAAAGCTGGGATCTGGAGGAAAGAGAAGGGAGTCCAAGGAGACTCCATGGCTGAAGCCATGGAAAGCCAGTGCCAGGGCCCAAGAGACCCATTTGTCCAGTTACCAGAGGTGACTGACATCTTCTGCGACTGCCTTGAGTCCAGAATTTTTTTAAAAAAACCTTGTAGCAAGAAAATGCCAGTGTGCAATTGGGTGAATAAAGACCAAAGAAAAACAGTAACAGGGACAGCTCACTTGCTCTCTGTCTCAGGTATATATCTTCTCTCCTTAAATCTCTCAGCCCTAATTAAACACAAACAAAAGTCTCTTCCATAGATAGGCTACTTCTCAGCTTCAGTCACCTCCTGTGGTGGCTCTGGGGGCTCTGGGGGTGGCATCTCTTCAGGAGTGCTGGTGTCCTCCGGCATCTCATTTGGGCTCAGATGTTCTGTTGGGCCCTGAGAAGAAAAACACACCAAATTCAATGCAAAGCTCTCCCTCAGCACCCAAATGGAGACTACACATATACAGCCACCAACACCAAACTCAGAACCAAGACTAGACTATTGTCTTCTCAGCAGAACGCAACTGAAGTTTAAGTTCTAGTCTTCACTGTCTGTAGTGTATAGTTGTTTCCATTATTATTAATCATAATAAAAGGAACCACAAATAATTATGCATACACCTCCCTTCACAACAGAATGCTATAACATACTTGTCTAATAAGGCCTGACTCAGTGGTTCTCAATCTTTTTTTTTTTTTCCCCTAACACACAGCTCAATAGAACAGTGATTCTAAACCAAAGAGGGTGGGGTGGCAAAATCTTCAGATGGTGTATGTGGTAGGAAAATGCCCCCTGAGTGATTCTAAAATACTACTCTTCCCTACATTCAACTTAGAACTACTAACCTAGATTGTTATGATTTAAGATCAGACTTATCAGAAAAATGATATTCAAAATGATGATAATAATATATAGACAAAATTTGCTGTACTTCAAAAAAAGAAAATTCAAAATTTAGGAAAGGTAAAGTAGAGAAAAATGATCTACTTTACAAAAAATCATTCACTTAAAAGTAGGATTCTATTTCATAAGAAAGTTCAAATCTACTAAAAATCTATTACAATAAACAAGTCCAGCAAGGTTTCAAGATACAAGATCAATATACAAAAATCAATTGAATTTCTATGTAGTCACAATGTATATTCCAAAAATGAAATTAGGAAAATATCACTTACAATAACATGAAAAGGATAAAATACTTATGAATAAATGTAACAAAAGAAGTATAAAATTTATATTCTGGAGGTGCCTGGCTGGCTCAGTCAGAGGAGCATGCAACTCGATCTTGGGGGTCAAGCCCCATGTTCAAGCCCCATATTGGGTGTAGAAATTACTTAAATAAACCTTAAAATAAAAAAAAAAACTTAGGGGTGCCTGGATGGCTCAATGGGTTACGTGTCCAACTCTTGATTTTGACTCAGGTCATGATCTCACAGCTGCATGAGTTCAGAAGTAAGTGATTTGGGCTCAGGGATGACAGTGCAGAGCCTGCTTGGAATTCTCTCTGCCCTCCCCAACTCATGCATGCGCACTCTCCCTCTCTTGCTCTCAAAATAAACTTTTTAAAAAAACCTTATACTCTGAAAACTACAAAACATTGTTGAAAGAAATTAAAGAAGATCTAAACAAATGAAGACATCTCATGTTAATGGTTTGGAAGACGTAATCTTGTTAGGAAGACAATATTCCAACAATTGATCTATAGATTCAATGCAATCCCCATCAAAATTCCGGCTGGCTTCTCAGGAGCACCTGGGTGCCTCAGTTAGTTAAGCATTTGACTCTTGATTTTGGTTCAGGTCATGATCTCACAGTTCATGAATTTAAGCCCTGCATCACACTATGTGTGGAGCCTGCTTGGGATTCTGTCTCCCTCTCTCTCTGCCCCTCCTCTGCTCTCTCTCTCAAAATATATAAATAAACATTAAACTTCTTTTTAAAAATTTGTAATTTTTTTTTTGAAAGAGAAACAGAGTGCAAATGGGGGAGGGGCAGAGAGAGAGGGAGACACAGAAAGAGAGAGACACAATCTGAAGCAGCCTCCAGGCTCTGAGCTGTCAGCACAGAGCCTGACATGGGGCTCAAACCCACAAGCTGTGAGATTATGACCTGAGCCAAAGTTGGAAGCTTAACCAACTGAGCCACCCAGGCACCCCTAAATTTCTTTTTAAATTCCAGCTGCCTTCTTTGCAAACTGACAAGCTGATCCTAAAATGTATATGGAAATTCAAGGGACCCAGAACAGCCAAAACAATCGAATAAAGAATAAATTTGAATGATTCACACTTCCTAATTTCAAAACTTACTGCAACACTACAGTAGCCAAGATAGCATGATACTGACACAAGAATAGATATATATTTTTTTAATATTTTTATTTATTTCTAGGAGAGAGAGAGAGAGACAGCATGAGCAGGGGAGGGTCAGAGAGAGAGGGAGACACAGACTCTGAAACAGGCTCCAGGCTCTGAGCTGGCAGTCAGCACAGAGCCCGACGCGGGGCTCGAACCCACGAACTGCGAGATCATGACCTAAGCGAAAGTTGGACCCTTAACCGACTAAGCCACCCAGGCGCCCCAAGAATAGATATATTAATCAATGAACTAGGATTGAGAGTCCAGAAACAAACTCCTGCATTTACAGTCAATTGATTTTTGACAAGGGTGCCAAGACAATTCAATGGAGAAAAAGCAGTCTTTTCAACAAAGGGTGCTGAGGGGCACATGGGTGGCCCAGTCAGTTGAGTGTCCAACTCTTGATTTTGGTTCAGGTCATGATCTCAGGGTCATGGGATCAAGCCCTACATTGGGCTCTGCACTGAGCACGGAACCCACTTAAGATCCCCCCCCCATGCCCCTCCCCTGCTCATGGTCTGTCTCTCTCTCTCTCTCTCTCTCTCTCTCTCTAAAAAAAATAAATAAATAAATTTTTTTTTATTTTAAAAAGGGTATAGAAATATCCACATGCAAAAGAAAGAATTTGAACCCCCTAGCTCACACCATATATAAAAGTTAACTCAAAAATGGATCAAAGATCTAAATGTAAGAGCTAAAACTATAAAACTCTTAGGAAAAACAAAGGCATAAGCCTTCATGACCTTGGATTAGACAATGGTTTCTTAGATGTCTACTGACAACAAAAGCCCAAGAAACTAAAGAAAAAAATAGATAAAATGGGTTTCATCAAAATTTAAACTTTTTGTGTTTCAAAGGACATCATCAAGAAAGTGAAAAGACAACCCACAGAATGGGAGAAAATATTTGCAAATATTTGCAAATATTTGTTATATCTAACATAGAGAATAAAGAATTCTTAGAACTCAACAACAAAAAAACATCAAATTGCCCAATTTAAAAATGGAAAACTAATCTGAATAGATACTTCTCCAAAGGAAATATACAAATGGCCAATAAGCTCATGAAAAGATGCTCAACCTCATTAGAGAAATGCAAATCATAACCACAATGAGATACCACTTCACACCTACTAGGATGTCTAGAACTAGAATGTCAGATAATAATGACAAGTGTTGCCAAGAATGTGGAAAAACTAGAACTCTCATACACTACTGGTGGGGATGTAAAAGGGTGCTGCCACTTTGGAATACAGTCCAGCAGGTACTCAAAAGGTTAAACATAGAGTTATTACATGACTCAATGATATCACTCCTGGGTATGCAGCCAAAAGAAATAAATACATATGTGTCTATGCAAAAACTTGCACATGAATGTTCATCACTGCATTATTCATAATAACCAAAAGGTGGAAACAACCATAATGGCAATCAATGAATGTATAAATAAAATGTGGTATTATCCATATAATGGAATATTATTCAGCCATATAAAGGAATGATGTATTGCTACATGCTATGACATGGATGAACCTTGAAAATATGCCAAATGAAAGAAGCCACACATTATATGATTCCATATATATGGAATGTACAGAAGAGACAAATATATAGAAAAGAAAGATTGATAGTTGCCTAGGGATGGGCAGAGAGGGAAGAGAGAGTGACTGCTGATGGGGACAGGGGTTTGGTGAGGGATAAGTAAATGTTTTAAAATTGATTGCTGTGATGATCGCACAAGTCTGTGAATATACTACAAACCCAGTAAACTGTACATTTTAAACAGATTTTACAGTATGTGAATTATAGCTCAATAAAGCAATTATAAAAAAGAAAGTTCAAATAATAACTTTTTAGGAACATATTTTATAACATATATCCTAAGCAAGATGGCTGGAAGGTTTACCACAACATATGCATATTCCAGGGAGGAAGCCCCTTTCTACCAAGTTACCCACTCCATTAACTCTAACCCGCTGCCCTGACCCCTATCTTTGCTCTGATAGCACTTATGCTTCCTTCCTCATGGCACTTTTCACAACATTGAGCAATGGCCTGTTTTCTTGTCTCGCATCTCTATTAGACAATGAGCTCCTTGAGAGCAAGGACATCACTGGCATATCCCGAGCACCTAGCACAGTGACTGCCACAGAAAGTCAAAGAATTGTCCAGCTCTAAATCCACCTCGAGGGCACAAAGATTTGAAGAAATGTCAGGCCAGAAGCAGAGACAGAAGCTGGAGCGACTGGACACGGAATTGCCTAATTGTATCTCAAAGGTGTAAATTTAGCCTACACAGTCTATCACTGACTCAGCTGTTAAGTCAGGAATACTTACTGGACTCTGTGGCAAAAGGCTGCTACCGGTCTCTTGAGTACTGGGAGGTCGACTTCCACTTTCCTCCAGTGGCAAAATACCCCTTCGATCCAGCACACTGAAGGAGAGAGGACAGTTAATAAAGCACTTTGTATTCCCCCCTCTACCCACCCACCCCACTGAAACTTGCTGTGTATGCTGGAAAACATAAACCTCCCCTTTAGTAGTCTAGCATTATTCTAGCACATGCCTCCTGTCTTCCATTCATTTTTCATTCCAAAAACCAGGGAATACCACAGTAACCAGGGAACAAGCAGATGAAACAAGAATGAAAAGTTGTCTTTTCAAAACAACTAGCCTGTGGTCTGTGGTACATGTAGCTATAGCACCAAGGGATAATCCCTGGGAAGACCTATTTGACACCAAAAGGCCACATTCAGAAGAATGCATCACACCAGGTAATCGGATCAGATTGAATTCCTTGTCCCAAGAGTCCCAGGATCTTCTAGTCCTCTGAGTACCTGGGGGGCAAGGGGCCACACAGCACTTCACAGCAGTTCTTCACAATGTTGCCATGGCTATAGGGATTCTGGACACGATTCTTCCCTGTCCATGAGCCTTTGATCTGCAAGATAAAAGCCAAGGCTTATATTAAAAATTATGTTGAAGAAATACATGCAGCATGAAAGGATGAGAAAGTTCTGGAGATGGATGGTGGCGATGGTAGCATAACCATATGAATGTACTTGATGCTACTGAATTCTACATTTAAAAATGGCTAAGATGGTACATTTTATATTACATATATTTTACCACAACAGGAAAAAGAAAGAAATACTTGCACAGCCATGGAAAAATGTTCACAATAGAGTGAAAAATCAGAAACTGAACAATATGTATTACTTTCAATTAAAAATATAAAATATAGGGGCACCTGGGTGGCTCAGTTGATTGAACAATTGACTTTGGCTCAGGTCATGATCTCACGGTTCATGGCTTTAAGCCCTGCATCGGACTCTATGCTGACAGCTTAGAGTCTGGAGCCTGCTTCAGATTCTGAGTCTCCCACTCTTTCTCTGCCCTTCCCCTACTCGCTTGCTCTCATTTTCTCTCTCTCTCTCTCTCTCAGAAATAAATTTTTAAAAACATTAAATTTTTTTTAAAATACAAAGTATAGGGGCACCTGGGTGGCTCAGTCAGTTAAGCATCCAACTTCGGCTCAGGTCGTGGTCTCAGTTAGTGAGTTCAAGCCCCACATTGGGCTCTTTGCTGTCAGCACAGAGCCCACTTACTTCAGATCCTCTGTCCCTCTCTCTCTGCCCCCCCCCAAAATAAGCATTTAAAGAAAAAGATACAAAATATATATATTCATATAAACAAACACAGGAACAAGTCTGAAAGACTACAAATCATACCATTAACAGTGATGAATTTAAATAAAAACTGAAAAGAAACCAATGCTGACATCTAGGAGGTAGAGTTACAGGGACCTATTTGCTATTATTTACTCATGTGTATTTTCTAATTTTCTACAATGAACATGGATTAATTGGTAATTTTTTTTTTATTAATTGGTAATTTTTAAAAAGCAGGGTTTTATTAAGCACAACTGCCCCTCTCCATTCCAAATCCAGAGGCACTAACTAGCCTTTAAGGATCTATGAACAGCTGAAGACATTGTACCCACTCAACCATTGAACCTCTTCTTCCCAATTCTCTATAGGTACTCAACTCCAAATAAAGTAGTCTGCTTTCTCCTCCATACAGTGGATTTAACAGCGTCCCACACTAGGTTTCCATCTGCCTCAACTTCCCGAGCGCTGGAGACTCAGTTTTCTAGCAGGTATAGCAGGTAATGAGAGAATAGGTTTTGGAGAGAAGGAGAATATGTGATGAGGAAAAGGGAAAGTTGACTCACGTCTTCATTGGTTGTCTGGTTGAGAGCCACGAGGAAAGTGTGAAAGCCAGTCAATCCCACGACGGACCAGAGTGTGAAGAAGCAAATAAGCACTTCTAGAACAGTGAGGTGATGTTAAGGAATGTGGAAGTAGCTACACCAGGGGACTTAATGCTTCAGCCCATACTCATGGCACCAATCACACCATCTTTACCTCTCAGAACATATATCACAAATGGCCAAGTATCTATATATAATAACATATGAATTTTAAACTCACTGGATATATGAAAGGTAAAGGATTCCTGTTTATTCACTATAAATCGCTCTCTAACAATTCTAGTGTATTTAAGTGTTCATTTATTCATCATTAGTTCTTTGAAGAGGATGTTCTGTGAAAGCTAAACAATGTTGGCCATCACTGTCAATGGAAAATCCATTTAAAAATAAACTTTGTAATAAAAAATTGGTGGAAAAAACAGAATGTGACTTATAGAAATCCCATCTGAATCTCCTTTTCAAAAATACAACTGCTGTACAAAATAAGCCTTAGCAGTAACAGAAAGGTAGGACTTTCATCAAGTGACATAAGAGGTATACTGAAGCAAACACAGCCCACTAGAGGAGGCAAGGCCGAGCCTATGATCAGAAGGACTTGGGAGGGAGGCAGTGGAGAAGGGGGTGAAGGAAGGACCTCCCTTTAAGCCCTGGCCATCTTCCATCTTCTGGTTGCTACCACGAAGACTACGTGTTTTTTTTTTTTTTTTTTTTTAGACTTTCTTTGGCACTCTGACATCTGAAAAACGAGATGGTGGGAGAACTGCATACAGAAAGCCTACTTGAAACTAGTTTAAGAGGGTGTCACAGGGACGTACTGCCAGGGGAGGATATGTTCCAGGAGTTTCTTTCAACGTCTCCAGGAAGCCAATTTTCAAGGATTCTGTTAAATTGGGAGGACAAGTAGAAAGAAAAATCAATGACTTTAGTAAAATATGCACACTTATCCTAGTACCCACTCATTTTCTTCCCTCCCTGTCCCTTGTTACAAGCTGACAAGAGATTAAGCCCTCACTCAGACAAGGGACTCTCACCTACAAACTGGTAGTCTCCTCACTAAAGAGTTTACATTTCCAATGCGGGACCTGGCACTGGACTAGAGAGTCTGATAGAACCCAAGCTTCCCATTCCTCTCCCTTTTCCCTAGCCTCCAGCTATGGGCACAGATGGGGAATATTCATTCGTAGCTGAAAGAAATCAGAAATATCCAAGAAAAATCCTCTTTCCTGATTAACCCATATCCCTCCCTTATTCAAAATCTAGCTGAGAACTCATCTCTTGATAAAGATGCCTCCTTTAAACTCCACATCCTATCTGCCTTTAAGGTGATTTGGTTGTGTGTGTGTGTGTGTGTGTGTGTGTATTTTCTGTCTCCCAAAGCAGACCGTGAGCTACTAAAAGGCATTTTTCTGGTATAATCCCTTCTACCACCTGGCACAGGGCAAGTCTTACAAGGCAGAAGAAGAAAGGATGCAGAGCCAACATATATCTTCAGAAATGTCCACTACTCTGGGTACAGGCCATAATCAGAGCCTCAGTCTTCAGCAGACGACCAATGAGAAAGCTAACACACTCCGTAAATAGGTACAGGCCATTATCAGAGCTTCAGTCTTCAGCAGATGACCAATGAGAAGGCCAACACATTCAGTAAATACAGATGGCTGTGAGCTGAGTTTTCAGAGCTCTGTTCAAGAGCAGTGTTCATTTCTAACAGGGACTTTGCAATGGTAAAGTCCCATCAGGAAACCCAATCACTTCCTTCAGCTGTCCTTAAGTCTTCCCCCACCCCCCACCCCATTCCAACAACAGACACTGCCTTGAATACTCACTGAGAGCCACATAGACGATGTTGAAGGCGAAGACATAGATCGTGAGGAGGGAGAGAGACAGGATAAAGAGGTAGAAGTAGCGGTAGTTCCTCTTTCCAACACAATTCCCCACCCAGGGGCAGTGATGGTCGAAGCGCTCTGTGGGAGAAAGAGAGAGTCCAGTGCCAAAGCCACCCAAACAAAGCACACATGCCATCCACATAATACCTAATTTAGAGACCTCCAGTGTCCCTGCTGCTGTCAATTGTAAAAAACACTGGTTTCTATTTTTCACTTTTTCACTATGTTTTCATAGTCAACTCATTTGATCCCCACAATCACCCTGGAAGTTGGTCAAAAGAAGATATTCTTTTCCTCATTTTACAATTGGAGAAACTAAGGCACTGAGGGGTGAGTACCTCACTGCCTTACTGCCAGCTGACAACATAGACTTTGCTTTCCCAAAGAAAAACCTTAAGTGGACTTACTAAGTTAGGAAGAATAAGTAGGTGAAAATAGCCAATGAAATTTTGAAAAAATGAGTAGTGTGGTTTTTCGTAATCTCTACTTTTTTTTAATGATAACACTAGGTGGCTCAGGCAGTTAAGTGTCCGACTTCGTCACAGGTCATGATTATGAAGCTCATGAGTTCAAGCCCCATGTCGGGCTCTGTGGTGACAGCTCACAACCTGGATCCTGCTTTGTATTCTGTGTCTCCCTCTCTCTCTGCCCTTCTCCTGCTCGCATTCTATCTATCTGTCTCTCTCTCTCAAAAACAAATAAACATTAAAAAAATTTTAAATGATAAAACTACAACACTTAAAATGGTGTGGCACAGCTCAATGGAATGGAAAGTGCCCAGAAAGTCTCTAGAATATTTAACAATTTACTGTCTAATAAAGGCAGTTCTACAAAAACAGTGGTGAAAGGAAGTATTATTCCATAAATAACTCTCACACAATTGGCTACTTGGTGGAAAATAAGGTTAGGTTTTTACTCCTCACACAATTTGTCAAAATTAATTCCAGATGAATTAGAGTTAAATGTAAAAACAGAGTAAAATCATAAATAACTATAAAGAAGAGATGAACATTTATCCCCTGTATAGAAAAGGACTTTCTAAGCATAAAAGTAATGAAAGAAAACACAAATGACAAAGAAAAATATATTTGATTCCATAAACCTTAAAATACATTTTATATATGTTAAAAATACTATAAAAAGGGGCATCTGGGTGGCTCAGTTGGTTGAGCGTCCAACTTGTCTCAGGTCATGATCTCACGGTTCGTGGGTTCGAGCCCCGTGTCGGGCTCTGTGCTGACAACGAGCTGAGAGCCTGGAGCCTGTTTCAGATTCTGTGTGTCTCTCTCTCTCTCTCTCTCAGAAATTTTTAAAAAATACTATAAAGAATTTTTAAACAGGAAAAAACCAATGGGAATGTGTATAAATTTTGTACCTTAGTACATGAGAAGTCCTTACAAATCAATAACAAAATACAAATATTCCTTTAAGAAAATAGTCAAAGGGTAAAAAGAGACAGTTAACAAATACTACATAAACATATATTTAGATGTTTTCAGATTCACTAATTGAAATTCAGTGCAATACTAGTACAACAATAAGACAATTTTTGCCTATTGAAATAAGAATACAAAAATAATATCCAGTGTTGGCGAGAATAGCATGGAATGGACACTAATAGACACTTTGTGGGAGTATAAATTAAGAGAACCTTTCTGAAAAGCAATTTGGCAGTATGTATCAATAGTCTTAATAAGGCTCACACTGCATTGTCAAAATAAATCCATTTTTAGTAATTTCTCTTAAGGAAATAGAGATGTGCACAGAAATTTAAGTTTAGCAATATTTTAGTATTTTTTATTATGGTAAAATATAAAACATGCAATTTGCCAATTTATTCACTTTAAGTGTACAATTTAGTGACATTAATTACATTCACAATGTTGTGCAACCAACACCAACTACCTATTTCCAAAAATTTTCATCACCCTCAAGCAGAAACTCTGTACCCATTAAAGACTAACTCTCTGTTTTCCCTTTCTCCTGGTCCCTGGTAACTTCTAATCTTTTTATCTCTATGCCTATTCTACATATTTCATATTGGTGGAATCATACAATATTTAGCTTTTTCTGTCTAGCTCCTTTTGCTTAGCATAACGTCTTCAAGATTCACCCACACTGTAGTATGTATCAGCACGTCATTCCTCCTTATGGCTGAATAATATTCCATTTTACGGATATGCCACATTTTGTTTATCCACTCATCTACTGATGGACACTTGGGTTGTTTCCATCCTTTGGCTCCTGTAAACAATGCTGTCATGCACACTGATGTACAAAAATGTTTAAATCTCTATTTTCAATTCTTTTTGGTATTGTTATGGACAGAACTGTGTCCCCTCCCATTCATATGTTGAAGCCCTAACCCCCAATGTGACTATATTTGGAGACAGCTTCTAAGGAGGTAACTAAGGTTAAATGTTATAAGAGTTGGACCCTAATTCTGTAAGATTGGTATCCTTATAAAAAGATGAGACACCAGGAGTGCATGAACACAGAAAAAAGGCCACATGAAACAGCAACAAGGTGGCCTACATGCAAGCCAGATATAGAGACCTCACTAGAAATCAATCCTGCCTGCACCCTGATCTTGAACTTCTAACCTCCAGAACTGTGAAAAAATAAATTTCTGTTGTTTAAGCTACCCAGTCTGTCATATTTTGTTATGGTAGCCTGAGCAGGTTAATATAGGTATGTATATATTTGTACATACACATATATATATATATATATACACACACACAAAAGGGGTGGAATTTCTGGGTCATATGATAATTCCAATTCTATGTTTAACTTTTTCAGAAGCTGCCAAACAGTTTTTCACAGTGGCTACGTCATTTTATATTCCCACCAGCAGTGTATGAAGGCTCTAATTTCTCCACATCCTGAAATTTAATCACTTTGATTGCAGTGTAATAATAATGAATAAAATGGAATAGTAAATAATATTTAATTATAGCAAACTGCTTAAGTAAACTACAATATTGAAAATTTTTAAATAAACTAAAATGTAGCCATATGATACAGTCATTAAAATAATATATTCAAAACACATTTATTAAAGATCTGGAAAAATACTCAGGATATAATGTTAAGTGACAAAGGCAGGATTAAAAAATCTATCATGTGTGATCTAATTTCACAAACAACTGACACTGGAAGGAGATATAGCAAAGTGGATAGTAAATTTGGGATTAAGTTTTACTTATACTTTCTGTACCCTCCATATTTTGTAAAATGAACATGGATTATTTTAATGAATAAAAAACACACAAAGAATAAAATACATCATTTTTTTTTTAAATGTTTTATTTATTTCCAGGAGAGAGAGACAGCGTGAGCAGGGGAGGGTCAGAGAGAGAGGGAGTCACAGACTGAAACAGGCTCCAGGCTCTGAGCTGGCAGTCAGCACAGAGCCCGACACGGGGCTCGAACCCACGAACCGCGAGATCATGACCTAAGCGAAAGTCGGACGCTTAACCGACTAAGCCACCCAGGCGCCCCAAAATACATCATTTTTAAAAAGCAATGAGCTATGCATGGGTCAAAGTAAAGACTATAATAATGGTATACCTCCTGATTAAAGGGCTACAATGTATCTTTTCAGAAAAGAAAAAGAAGATGTAGAGAAGACACACCCAGATGGTTAGGGTAATATCTGGATCAAGAATTACAAATATAGCCTCACTTTAAGCAAACTTTCCATAAAAATATTAGGAACTGTACATTTATACAAATTTATTTTTACTGTATTTTAGATTATACTTTTTCTGACAATATAATTAATACATGCTCATCATAGAAAACTTGAAAAAATGAAAAATGAAAGAAACAATATCACTCATAATTCCACAACCTATACATAATAAACTATAAGCGTAAGCATTCTGGTGTGTTTCCTTGAATATATCTTTACATATTCTTATATTTTTTCAAATGTGTAACTGAGATCACACTATTAAAGTAGCCTATATCCTATTTTATTTCATTTAGCTTTCTGATATCAGCTTCTCCCATAAATCTGTTGTACAAATGTCTCACAACTTATTTGACTGTTTATCTACTGGTAGACTATTAGGTTTATTTAATTTTCCATCATTATAATAATTCTGAGGTAAATGTTTCCATACCTAAATATTTTACCACATCCCTGATTAATTTCTTAAGGACAGGTCCCTAGAAAAGGAATCGCTGGCATCAAAGGGGATACATGTTTTAACAAGGTTTTTATGAATCTCACTAGGTTGTCTTCCAAAAAGTTTGTTCCAATTTACACTCCTACCAGGGTAATTAATCAGGTTTTCTGATAATGCTTGTTAATGTTTTAGATTTTAAAAGATCCTGTTTTAAGTTTTATTTCTTTGATTTTTAGTAGGGATGAACTTCTTTCTTGTTAACAAGTTAATTGCATTTCCTGTTTAATGAACTGCCTATATTTCCACTGGAATGTTACTGATTCTTTTTTTTTTAAATGAATGTGTATGAGTTCTTTATATTTAAGAATATTAATAGGAGGGAGAATTATTTGTTAAAACCTTCGCATCTGATCTTCTTGAAATATCAACTTTCCTAGCTAATTTAAAATGAGTTTTAATTTATAAAAATCTTATCTACACACAGATTTTTACCATTCAAAGTAAGATATATCTTCCCAGCCTTTGCCTAAAGAATTGGCATCATACAGGGGCACCTGGGTGGCTCAGTTGTTTGGGCGACCGACTTCAGCTCAGGTCATGATCTCACGGTTTATGGGTTCGAGCCTCGCGTTGGGCTCTGTGTTGACAGCTAGCTCAGAGCCTGGAGTCTGTTTCTGATTCTGTGTCTCCCTCTCTCTCTGACCTTCCCTTGCTCACGCTGTCTATCTATCTCAGAAATAAATGAAACATAAAAAAAAAGAATTGGCATCATATGGCAAAGGCAGTCCTAAGAGGAAAGTACATTGCACTCCAGGCCTATTTCAAGAAATTAGAAAAAGCGCAAATACAAAATCTAACAGCGCACCTAAAGGAGCTAGAAGGAGAGCAACAAGAGCACGCCAAACCCAGTAGGAGAAGAGAAATAATAAAAATCAGGGCAGAAATAAACAATATAGAATTGAAAAAAACCGTTGGACTGAACAATGTAACCAAGAGTTGGTTTTTTGAAAAAATAAACAAAATTGACAAACCTCTCGCCAGACATCCCAAAAAGAAAAGAGAGAGCACTCAAATAGACAAAATCATGAATGAAAAAGGACTTATTACAACCAACCCCTCAGAAATACAAGCAATTATCAGGGAATACTATGAAAAATTATATGCCAACAAACTAGACAACATAGAAGAAATGGACAAATTCCTAAACACACACTCACTACCAAAATTCACACAGGAAGAGATAGAAAATCTGAACAGACCCATAACTAGTGAGGAAATTGAATCAGTTATCAAAAATCTCCCAACAAATAAGAGCCCTGGACCTGATGGCTTCCCTGGGGAATTCTACCAGACATTTAAAACAGAGTGAAGACCCATTCTTCTCAAGCTATTCCAAAAAATAGAAATGGGAGGAAAACTTCTGGACTCATTCCAGAAGCCAACATCATTTTGATTCTCAAGCCAGACAGAGACCCAGCAAAAAAAAAGAGAACCAATATCCTTCATGAATACGGATGCAAAAATCCTCAACAAGATCCTTGCAAATCGAATGCAACAGCACATAAAAAGAATTATCCACCACAATCAAGTGGGATTCATTCCTGGGTTATAGGGCTGGTTCAATATTCACAAATCAATCAATGTGATACATCACATTAACCAAAAAAAGGTAAAAACCATATGACCCTGTAGATAGATGCAGAAAAAGCATTTGACAAAATACAGGATCTCTTCTTAATAAAAACCCTCGAGAAAGTTGGGATAGAAGGAGCTCACTTAAACATCATAAAGCCATCTATGAGAAGCCCACAGCTAACATCATCCTTAAAGGGGAAAAACTGAGAGCTTTCCCCATGAGATCAGGAACACGACAGGGATGTCCACTCTCACCACTGTTGTTTAACATAGTGCTGGAAGTCTTAGCATCAGCCATCAGACAACAAAAGGAAATAAAAGGCATCAGAATTGGCAAAGAGGAAGTCAAACTTTCACTTTTTGCAGACGACATGATACTCTACATAGAAAACCCAACAGACTCCACCAGAAGCCTACTAGAACGGATCCATGAATTCAGCAAAGTTGAAAGGTACAAAATCAATATACAGAAATCAGTTGTATTTTTATACACCAATAATGAAGCAACAGAAAGAGACATCAAGAAACTGATCCCATTCACAACTGCACCAAAAAAAACCATAAAATACCTAGGAATAATTATACCTAACCAAAGATATAAGAGATCTGTATGATGAAAACTATAGAAAACACTAGAACTCTCCTATGACCCAGCAATAGCACTGCTAGGAATTCACCCAAGGGATAGAGGAGTGCTGATGCACAGGGGCACATGTACCCCAATCTTCATAGCAGCAGTCTCAACAATAGCCAAAACATGGAAAGAGCCTAAATGTCCATCAACTGATGAGTGGATCAAGAAGATGTGGTTTATCTATACCATGGAATACTACATGGCAATGAGAAAGAATGAAATCTGGCCATGTGTAGCAACATGGATGGACCTTGAGGGTGTTAATGCTGAGTGAACTAAGTCAGGCAGAGAAGGACAAATACCATATGTTTGCACATATAGGAGGATTAGGAAGAACTTAACAGAGGACCATGGGGGAAGAAAGGGGGAAAAATAGTTGGGGAGAGGGAGGGAGGCAAAGCATGAGAGATTCTTGAATGCTGGGAACAAACTGAGGGCTGGTGAGGGTTGGGGAGAAGGGAAGGGGGTGATGGGCATGGAGGGGGGCACTTGTGGGGATGAGCACTGGGTGTTATATGGAAACCAACTTGACAATAAACTATTTAAGAAAAAATAAATAAATAAGCAAACAGTAAAAAACAAAACAAACAAAAAAAAAGAATTGGCATTATAAGAAGAAAGTAATGTACTCAGTCAGGCATGTTCCATGCCATATATAAAGAAGGCTAGAAGTATGCTTATTACATATATATATACATGTATGTAATATATATATATATTATGTGTTGCACATATATGTCTATCAATGGACTTATTTACTGCCTGTTTCTGATCTTTCCCAGGGTTCAGCACACACTAGGCAGTGATTACAACTAAGCCACATATATACAGATAGAAGCACAGACCCATGTATTATGCACACCTGCCACCCTTGCAGCATTAGGAGAGATAGATAAAATGACAGTTTTGGAATCAGACCTGTTCCAGTTTCGTCTCATATTAATTACACAAATCTGCACAAAGGTACTTCACCTATTTCCTCATCTGTAAAAAGGGGATAATACCTTATGTGGTTTTACAAATCTTAAATGAGAGAAAGGGAAAGCACTTAGCACAGTGCCTAGTATATAGTAGGATCTCAATAAATGCTAGCCACTTTCTTCTTGGAAACAGTACTTCTTATATATCCCTTCTTTCCCTGCTGCTGCCCTCCAGTGGACTAGGGTTCTCCTCCCACTATATAAGGTGGGTTCCACTTGAAACAAATCCAGTCAAGGAAAATGCAGATTTTAAAAACAGGTAAAGTTCACTTCCCCGTTTACCAAAAAGGGTTTTTTTAGTCAATTTTAGACCAGAGGATATTTAAAATAAGATTTGATCTACAGAAGTACAGTTGACTTTTCACTCGTTCAGAAGTTTGCTTCCTATCTGAAGTTTCCTAACTAAATCTAGCTTATTTCCTACGTAAATCTATATCCCGACCCCTACTGATTTTTCCCTAGAAAAATAACCCTGACCCTCTCCTTCAACTCAGCCTTATCCCCAGACAAAGCCTCTTTGGTTTTACTCACCCACACAGTTGTCACAGATGCTGCAATGGGAGGCCCGGGGTGGCCGGAAGATCTTGCACGTATAACAGTATTTCAGCTTCACAATCTGGTTGTTTATCTGAAAATTCTTGATACGAGGAGGTGGTCGCTGGCCTTGGGGAACTGCACCATTGGTAGCCTCTAAAGATCAGTAAAGACAGTTACTATCACAGCTAGCTAGGCATTATTTGAGTCCAAAAGTCCCACCACTTCTCGAAAAGCAATGGGAGTACTCAATAGTGCCCTAGGCCCACTGTTTTCTACAGACTAGCATTCTAGAGGACACTCTCAACATCATAGTATCTCCCCAAATTCCAATGAATGCCATGCAGTTCTTTGGGCACATGTGAAAAAGGGTTTCTTCAAGGTTTTTTTTTTGGGGGGGGAAGGCAGGTTACAAAGAAAAACATTCATAAAATATATAAAAATGGCTTAAAGAATATATGAAATGAGGGGTGCCTGGGAGGCTCAGTTGGTTAAGGCTCCAACTTCCGCTCAGGTCATGATCTCCGGGTTCGTGAGTTCTGTCCCCGCGTCGGGCTCTGTGCTGACAGCTAGCTAAGAGCCTGGAGCCTGTTTCAGATTCTGCATCTCCCTCTCTCTCTGACCCTCCCCCACCTCAGAAATAAATAAAACATTAAAAAAAATAAAAGATAAAAGTAAAAGAACAAAAAAATATATGAAATGAAAATTTTCAAATTTACTAACAAAGACATAAAAACCAACACAAAGATACTGTTTCCACCTACTATATTAACAAATATTAAAAAGAATAAAAATACCCAATGTTGGCAAGGATGGGGAGAAGGTATTTTTATACATTATTGTAAGCAATAAAGCAGTGGCTCCCAAAATTTTAAAGGTCTATATTTTTTGATCCATCAATTCTATTTCTAGCAACTTAACAAAATTACAAAGAGATATACAAAAGATGTTGATAGATGGATATTTATCACAGAGTCTCTTTTAATAGTGAAAACCTGAAAATAACCTCAGTGTCACAGTAGGAGGTTGGTTAAGTAAATTATGATACATGCACAGGATGGAACATTATGCAAACCATCTAAAAATGATGCAGACAAATGAATGAAGACACAGGACAATATTCACAATATATTACAAAATGAAAATGTAAACTAAAAAACAACATGCATAAAAAGATATTATCTTGGGGTGCCTCGGTGGCTCAGTTGGTTAAGTGTCCGACTTCAGCTCAGGTCGTGATCTCACAGTCCATGAGTTCGAGCCCCGCATCAGGCTCTGTGCTGACAGCCAGTTCAGAGCCTGGAGCCTGTTTCAGATTCTGTGTCTTCCTCTCTCTCTGACTCTCCCCTGCTCACGCTGTCTCTCTCTCTCTCTCTCTCTCTCTCAGGAAATAAAAAAAATTTTTTTAAGATATTATCTTGCAAAAATAAAATATATGCATGAAAAAAGACTGGTAATACTTAGAATCAGAAAAACAATCTTTTAAAAATAAAAGTAGTACATGCTTATTTTAAAAGCTTTGGAAAAAAACAAAATATATATATAAAAAAATAAAAATCACTGACAGTCTCTCAACTCAGGGATATCCATGCATTTTGGTATATTTCCTTAACAGATAAACATTCATGATTTTTAAAAATTTGAGATATGAGGGGCGCCTGGGTGGCTTAGTCGGTTAAGCGTCCGTCTTTCGCTTAGGTCATGATCTCGCGGTTCGTGGATTCGAGCCCCATGTCGGGCTCTGTGCTGACTGCCAGCTCAGAGCCTGGAGCCTATTTCAGAGTCTGTGTCTCCCTCTCTCTCTGACCCTCCCCTGTTCACGCTGTCTCTCTCTCTCTCTCCTAGAAATAAATAAAAATATTAAAAAAAATTTTTGAGATATGAATATAATTTTGTACCCTGAATTTTTCACTTAACATTATATGGTGAATGTTCTTTCATGGTTGTTAAATTCTGTTCCAAAAACATGAATATTAGCAATATAATATTCCATCATATGCATATACTGCAATTTATTTAACCATTCCATATAGTGGGGCATTCAAGTGGCCTCTGGGCTTTTACTATTAAAGTGATGATGCATGGAAAAACCTAAGATATTACAGATAAAGCTTAAATCCTCTTTGATCACCACTCCAATCCCAATTCCCACCTCCCTTCCCCAAGAATATATACGTTTAAAATTAATTTGTAAAACAGAAAGAAAAAAAAGAAAAGAATGTTGAAGTCTGAGCAGTAATATATGAAGTTGCTGGCATAAAATACCTAGGCCCATATTAAAAAAAAAAAAAAAAGCTGGGGCACGTGGGTGGCTCAGTTGGTTAAGCATCTGACTCTTGATATCGGCTCAGGTCATGATCTCACAGTTGTGAAACTGAGTCCCATGTCTGGCTCTGTGCAGAACCTGCTTGGGATTCTCTTTCCCTCTGTCTCTGCCCCTTCTCCCTGTGCATGCTCTCTCTCTCTTTCTCTCAAAATAAATAAATAAACTTAAAAAAAAAAGAAAAGAAAGAAAAAGGAAAAAAAATGCCGCGCTAAAAATCCTTCCGCAGTAATTTGTATAACTCTCTGATTATTTTCTTTAGTTAAACTCTAAGCAAAGTGGAATTACTGGGCCAAAGGGTATGAACCCTTAAAGCCCATATTGCTTATTGCCAGAATGCTTCCCAGGCAGATTGTATCAATTTGCATACCCATCCATCTGCAGCATACGAGAATGCCTGTCTCATTGCCCCCTAGATATGCAGGATAATTCTAAAAACAGAATAATTTTTCAATTCACTTTGATTTTTAAAAATATCTACCATATGGAACTTTTTTCCCTTTTTTGCAGAGTGGGGTAGATGCTGTGAAATCAAACAATAATAGTGTGTCACAAGGATGAGGATGGCTGTTCATTAGAGAATGATAAAAGTACCAGCATGCCACCTTAATATTCCTTTGCATGTGCTTTATGTGAAGGCACCTGTGAGATAGAATTCATGGTTTGTCCTCCCCATGAGGCACTATGATACAAGGGAATTGCAGTGTTGCCTTCTGCCCAGCCCCCATGCACAGCATTCAGAACAGGGCTGAATGCAGGTTGACAAAAACTTGCTAACATAAATATACATATGAATTCAAGAATGCACTCTTCTACAGACAGAAACATGCTAAAAGGAGAGGTCACAATGTGACAGCTCAAGCCTGGGCTCCAGGCCCAGTGACCTGGCAAAACAGAATTAACCTTGCTAACACCTGCTGTGAGATGCAAGAGACAAGTCAAGGCATTGCCTTGACCTTCAGTTTCTCCATATGTGAATGGAAAGGAGATGATAAAAGAATAACCCAGAGGGAGAAAAGATGGCACACACAACTTTCCCTCCTATCTTCCTCCTAACTACCCCAGCTTCACCAGGTCTCCCATGAATTCCAGCTGCACAAACACACCTGGCCTCTGCTTTCTCCCCACCATTCCCACCCTCTCCCCATCCCTAAGTAGTTCAAGCTCAGAGGTGCACAAGCCTATGTCCCCTTAGCTTAATTAAAACAGGATGAAATGTTTCAAAAAGAAATTCACTAAGAAGCTAGAGGGGAAATGCAGCTAAAATAAACAAAAGAAATTCAAAAGCTTGGAAGCTTTCAAACCACTCTAAAAGAATATCAAATCAACACACCATACACCTTAAACTTACACAATGTTGTGTCAATTATATTTTGATAAAACTGGAAGAAAAAACATCAAATGGAAATGGGAGAAAATATTTCATTGATAATAGCATATGTATAAATATCAGGAATGAACTCCATATGAGAAATACAGAAACTAGATTTTAAAACTATAAACATTTTATCCAAGGGCATAAAATTCAATCTGAAAATAAAAACATAACATTTTCTTAGATAGGAAGACAATATTATATAAACATAAAATATAAATGTAATGTAATACCTATTATAACTCTGATAGGTTTGTGTGTTTTTAATTAAATAATATAATACTAAAATAAAAAAACAAACACTCTAAAAATCTAGAAGCATTTAACCGCAGATTGGTGCTTCATGGGTGTAGCTTTTAGTCTTACAAGTTCTGGGTCCCTTTCTTCTACTCTGTCTGATTTGGATACTGACTCAAGCTACTTGGGTACTGGACTTGGTAACAATTTAGGCAGGCACTGCTCTTAGGTCTGGTGGGTTTCCAGTCCCTGCCAGTACTGGTATCATAGCCTTCTTTCCCAGTATGAGCTCCTAGGATATTCCCTCCTCTAGCCCTGACATCTTCTGCTTTAATTTGTGGAGCCACCCTGGCTCCTGGCTAGGGTAGCACTTTATCTCTGTCCCAAAGAGACCTGAAAACTGCACTGTAATAAGCCTATAAGTCTTTCCTTTTCTTCCTTTACCTTCCTAGAATTCTCAGTGGTTCCTGGCACCATGGCTGTCTCCTCTCACCTTGTGTACTTCCTTAAAGCAGGAATGCTTGGTGGGGCCCATGAATGTGCTTCAAAAGATCTACAGATCCCTGAAATTACAGCCACAAGTATATGTATGTGCAAACATATAAGAATATTTTTTTATGAAAAGAAGGCTTACAGCTTTCATCAAAAAAACTCGAATGAGTTGATGACCCCTCAAAAATAAAAGCCCATCCTCTTGGGAACAGTGCAGCAGGACCTTGGTAACAAAGCCCTCCTGAAATGCAACGCAACACAAGGAAGAATGAAGCATATGGCTTTCAAATCTTGCTAAACCCATGTGACCAAATTCATTGGGTGGTCATGATCTCAGATTCAGGTTCTTACAGCGAAAAGGCTAGAAAAAGGCTAGAATCTGCAACTACATGATTCCATTCCCTTAGTGATTAAGGTTATCCACTGCACAGCAGCTTGCCAGCTGGTTAGAAAACTCACCTATCTCCATTTCTATGAAAGCTGCTTCATCTGGTAGGGCCCGTGGGATCACTCCAGGGTCACTGAAGCTGGTCCTCAACAGTGTAGCCATGGAGAAAAGGAAGAGCATGGCAGCAAACACAGGGATGGCAGGAGACAGCTGGACAGCCAGGTAGCGGCATCTGAAGAAAGCAGTCAATTGAACATTTAGTTATAGCTACCCTATATGGACCTCAAATGGTTATCAGCATGTCGATCTTGTCTCCGCAACAAAATCGGCAGTGCCCTGAGGGAAGGGACCATGTTTTTTCTTCTCTTGAATTACCCATAACTCCTAATATATGGTTCTGCACACAATAGGAGCTCAACAATTATCTGACTGATGGACCTATAACCCACAGAAGACAGTCTCAAGGGACCTCCCCCTATCATCAAGTCCAGTCCCTCCTGTTGGCCTGCTGAAGACCCCCATTTCCTCTGTGCCTCAGGAAAGGCTCACACCTACTAAGGTCAGGGAAGCAACTGAGCCTGAACTTGTAATTACCACAGGTTGCTCTTACTCTGGGAATGTGTAGAAGCTTTTCAAAAACACTCATCTGGCATTAGGCCTGAGCTCAAGAAGGAGGAAGAAAGAGGAGAACCATTTATGAAGCAAGGTCCCAGCATCAGACAGAGGGTAGGTCTGGCATGCTTCAAAACCAATGAAAAGTTTCAGGGCTGCTGACTGACTTTGAAACATACATTCTTTTCTCTCCTCGATGAGCTCTGCTAGTAGGTGTCAAGTGCCCTTAGGCAAGGAAATAAGAAAATTGTATCTCCTTAGCACCCCTTCTCAACCTAATGTTTCCTTCCCCTTTCCTCATAATTCATCTGGAAGGTTACCCCTCTTCCTCTCTGGATATCCCAGCTCTACTCATCTTTCAGGTCCCAGAAACATCAATGCCATCATTGTCATCATCACAATTTACTGAGCACTCACCATATGCTAGGCATTGCACTAAGCCCTTTATTGCATCGTCTCATTCAATTCTCACACTAAATCCACAAGGTAGCTTTGATAGAGAGAGGTCTTGCCTCCTCCAAAAGGTCTATCCTGAGCTGCACTAATCTCTCCCTTCTCTACTGCTGTCGTCATTACTGCCAGAGCCTTGTGTTGTTTCCTAGCTGTTTTTCACTATGTTGACCTCATCTCCCCCAGCTGGACTTCATAAGAGCAAGAACCTTGTCTTTTTTGAAGTGGGAACATTTGGGTTTGAATTGTGGTTCTACCAGCTCCTAGTTGGGTGACTTAATTAACATCAGTCTCCTTAACTGTGAAATGAGGATAATAATAGTACTACGTAGGGTCATTTTGTGGATCAAATGCATGAATATAAATAAAGTGCTTAGAACTGCACCTGACACATAGTAAACTTTAAATTAATGCCAGCTATTAACATTACCATCATGGTTCTATATCTCCCAGAGCTTGATGCAAGTACGGGAACAAAGAAGCTACCAACAAATGTTTGTTATGTTAAACTGAATTTCAAACCAAATAAATAGGAATATGTAATGAGAGTTATCACTGACCTATTTTTATTCTCTTCCTCCTGAGGGACATTTTTTTCATTCAACACAGAGATCTTCTCTTGGAGGCAGACTATAAGTGGATGAGCAAGGACCAGAGGGAGAGCAGAAAAAGTACGCTAAGGAAAACGACCTACCTCATCAGCATGGGAATTAAGCAAGCTGCTGTCCATTCAGAGAAAACATTTAACCCCGGGTTGTACATTCGCTGTAGCTTTGGAACAGTCCCCATGAGATCCTCCCCTTGCCTCCCCACCACACACACAACTGCATGAGGGGTGCAAGACAACTATAATATTAGGCTGAGCAATTTGTCATAAAGGTGAATGTATGTAGTAAACTTGCAAAATGATGTTTGTGGCATTTTGTTTGCTTGCCTGCTTATTTGTTTTTTAACAAACTCCTTGGCCTTAGCCTGCTTTTGTAGGATTTACTTCTTCTAAAAGCTAAGGATAGGAGGCAAAATTTGAAGAACTGAAGGATCTGACTGAGTACAGAGTAATTAAGACTCCTGCATATCACTAGCTTGTGGATTACCCTCTTTTCCATTGTTCCACATTCAGTAGTACAGATAATCAAGAAGTGAATTCAGAAGCAAAAGTCACCTCCACCTACCAGGGACCCAAAGGACACAAGAGAAATACAAGACTGTTTCACAAGCAAGCCAAGTAAAAAAATTACCACACTAACAGAAAACAGCTATCTTTCTAATCCCTGCCCATTTCTAAAATCACTCTAGAAAACAAGTAATCTCTCTAGGACTCGAACTGCTCTGGGTGTACAGACTCCAATAAACAGAAAAATCAGAGCCATCCGATCAGCCACCAAAGGGATTTTAAATTGTTTTATTACAGGAAAAAAAATACAGAGGAAAAAGGGGCACCTGGGTAGCTCAGTCGGTTGTGTCCAACTCTCGATTTTGGCTCACTTCACTGATGTGAAGTCTGCTTGAGATCCTCTCTCTCTCTCTCTCTCTGTCTGCACCTCTCCACCATACTCTCCCTTTCTCTTTCTCTCTCTCTCTCTGTTCCTCTCTTTCTCTCAAATAAAATAAAGAATACCAAATAAAAAAGATACAGAGAAAATTTCTCTCCCACTCTCTCTCTCACACACACACACACGCGTGCACGCACACACACACACGCACACACACACACAATCAATGTTAACCCCATGCACGAAGGACCTGAGATTAACTAAGTCCCATTCCAACACCTGCTTGTCAACCAGACAAAGAACAACTTAGATTTGAATTACGCTACGCCATCAAGGATAAAAGTCTCTGTAATCTCCACATGGACTATCTTCTGCACCTGCTAAAACAATCCACTCTGTGTGTCAACAAGTACACAATAGGCCCATTGTATTGTTCTCCAGAGATGAGGCTACTGGTAGCCAGTTGTCACTAGTGAGTGGGTGTGGCTGAGAAGGCAGATGTGGGACCAACAGGCCTTTCCACTCCAAGTAAGAGGAAACTAAGAGAGCCAGTGGCTAAGACTACTGTCAACTATAACATAGCATGTCTGTCTTTAACAGTTATGATCAAAAATATCCGCATAGGTTAATCCCATAATTGCAGTACACTAGGGATCTGAATCTGACAGGAATCGGGTATGTGAAGATTTGGTGGTAATTCCCAATACTGATCTGAGAAGTCAGGAGTATCCTAAATCACTAATTTGTCTTGGTGAAAGACTAGATCTGTCATCCATAAATATAAGCTGTTTTTGAAAACCCCTAGTACTTTCCATTTATATCTCTTCTTGGAATAATGATATCCATACACTTCTTGAAACAGAACTCTCTTTTGTCTTCAAAGTGCCAATAGGTTTTCCCCCTTCCGAAGGGTTTAGCAGTTCCTTTTCTCCCTTGTGAATTTTAGAAATGCAACCATGTCCCCACTAAGTCTTTATTTATTCCACCTGAAAAGATATCATTATTTTAAGCCATCTTCTACCAACTTCTTGATTGGCCTTAGGTTTCCATAGCTGGGCTAGATGAGTGGACTTCTACATGTCCCATGGCCACATGGTGGTACTGTCTAGCAGTAACCAGCAGTGCCAGGCTGGGCTAGTGTGTCATGTCCCATCCCCTACCCCCAGCATGCTAGTTCGTTAGAAGGACAATGATAATGACACAGACTTCAACTGACGTGAAAAAACTCAAAAGAGATTCATAAATAGAACCGGTGAGAAACCAGACAGATTCCATAGCAGGGCTCTGCCTCATAGACTGGGAGTGTGGACTGGTGTTCTATACAATACTCTAAATCTAAGTGTCCCTAAAAGCTCAGTGCAATCAATCAGCCAATAAGTATTTATGGGTCTAACAAATGAAGAACAAGAGAAAACAGGAGTTAATTTTATTGGGGAAAATATAACTAACATATGAAACAACTACAGAATAAGATAAGACAGTAATCAAGGGTTAGGATGGTGATTCAGACCCTAAGGACTCTAAGTGGTCAGAGAAGAGCTCTCTTAGGAAGCTGGTGGCTGCTTAAAACTGCTCCCATAGCAGCGATTAAGGGTGGCTTTAAGCACAGTTTGGGACAGCAGAAAGGCCCCAAGGATTAGAGCCCCACGATGGCCCTCAGTCCAACATAATAGCAATAAGCCTTTGCTGTAAGTCCTCACTGATATGATACTATTTACCTTTAAACCATAATAAACATGTAGAACCACCTATAAGACTGATTCAAGGGTCTTCTGATGACACTTCAGAGTCTGCTGATAGGGAAAATTTTCCTTAGACACTAAAACATAATTGGAAATCAGCCTCCAGATTGACTGCTATTTGAAGGTCAGGGGAAGATGCATAACTCTGTTTTGTTCCAGTAGCAATGGGGAAGATTAACCAAACAGGGACAGTTTCAATTCTGAGGCAATGAACCATCCTCTCACTGAGGAGGGCCAAAATTTGTAGCCAGGCAAGCCTGCTAAATAGTTGCTAAATCTGTTATATTAGCAAATTTCACATTTCAATTATACCAAAAATAACACATTTCAAACATAACAAATAACAAATTTCAATTATAATATACTCCTGCTTAAATATTTAGAACAATTCCCCACTGCTTAATATATTAATCCCTAAGCCCCACAGGCCAGTATTCCAAGGCCCTCCATTAGTTTAACTGGCCTTATCTAATCATCATCATAAGGCTCTTGTCCTCTCATTGCTCCATTCCAGAAACATACCCCTAATTACACTGAATTCACTAGCTTCTTGCTATTGCAAAATGAATAAGGTGCTTCTTTTGTTCTTAAACGCAATACTAGCTCAGGCATCTCTGAGAAAGAAGATCTAGGAGGTCTCTTCTCTCCCTCAATAAACATCTCAACTGATGTCAGCAAGCTGGGGGACATCCCTCTTCTTTGTGCTTGCTTTTCCCAAAATAGAAAATCACTATACTAAGTTAAAACTCATTCCCAAAAGATGGGAGATGCATTCGATAGAGATTGACAGTGTGATGGGGCACCTGGGTGGCTCAGTCAGTTAACCATCCGACTTCAGCTCAGGTAATGATCTCGCAGTTTGTAGGTTCAAGGCCTGTGTCGGGCTCTGTGCTGATAGCTCAGAGCCTGGAGCCTGCTTCGAATTCTGTGTCTCC